GAAGACTCAGGGTGCCCGGATAAGAGTGGGAGAGAGAGTTGAGACAACAGATGTCCTCTGCAGGCGGCTTTGTCTGGGCCTGCACGGTGGAAGCACTAGTCTCCAAAAAAAGCAAACAATCCTAACTTTGAAATATTTTGCTGAATAACTGTTTTCAATGGCTGTGTTCTTCCCAGTTGTGGGAGATTTTACTGAAAAAAGAAATTTCTTCTCTTTGCCAAGATTTCATAACCAAGGAACAACTGAGCGTATAGTTGGCCTTAAGTTGAACTGCAAAGTTAGAGGCTGATGGCTTAACAAAGCCTCACCCATTTTTCTTCCCACCTTTAAAATGTTTTTTATCAAAACTGGCCTCCCCTACTGAAGCCGGACTGTTCCTTTCCCAGCCCACCCTCAGCCCCCCACTCCCCCACCCGACTCCCCACAAGCCTGGGCCTGGGATCCTGTATCCAAGGTCTGAGGCAAGGAAAGGAGGGGACAGCTACATAATCCTTCCACCAAACCACCGTCTTGGATTTTCTCTCCTGCCCTAAAAGATGTCAGAGCTAGGGTCTCACATTAGGAGGGCTCAGATGAATCTCCTGCGAAAAACAGTTTACAATCCAGAGCCTTTTGCCAAGAATAAGAATGGTCTCCCCTGTGCCTATTTCAGCCTCAAGTTGAGAGCAGATCATAATTTACGTTCACCTAATTCCTTCACAGCCTGAAAGCGCTTTTCTTTATCTTTCTGCCTGTGTGTTTGTTATACTCGGGACCCCAGAGGGCAGCCAAGATGTCAAATCTGCTCCATAGCAACTGTCTCCCTCTTGTTTCAGTAGAGCCTGAGTCGGCATCCTGACCGCACGTGGAGATGCAGCCTGAAATTCAGGCAGGTCCCCGAGTTCACTTCAAGGTTTGTCTGCCGGTAGATATGAATATTGTTAAAGGTTTGCCACCATAAATCCTTGAAAAATAAGAACAATTTATTTATGATACAAAACAAGATTTTTACATCAAAAGTAAAGAAGTAAACTAAGCCATCTAGTTTCATCTTGTTTTGAAAGATTGTTTCAGTACCAAAATCACTCAGCTTGGCATATTCCATAGGAAGCTCATTAAAACCTAAGAAACAGCTTCCCATCAGCTCATATTTGATATAAATACACAGCAAGAATCTGGTCACCAGGATCTATGTTTTATGAATGACCACGTACCGGCACGGCCTCAGGCACTGAATGTGCGACTTCACCACAGCGCCTCTAAAGAGGATGAGAAAGTATGTGGGGTCTATATCGGATGCCTCCTTCTCTGTATTTTGTACCCTCTTACACTTTGTAGAATCCCTTGGAAGTTTCTCTTTGTTATCTGTCCACAGACCTCATCTTCATGTTGCCCGTGCACAACAAAGGGCTGTGCTCTGAACCACCTACCCAGGATGGCAGTTTGAAGACTGTGTGTTGCAAGAACAAAGCTCACCCGTTGAAAACAGTTCCACATAGTGGAGATGGCAGGCACCATCTGGCAGGATGCTTTTGCCTTTCTCCTTAGCAACTGCTCCCACATCCATGTCCCTGGTTACCTTGTGAGCTTCCCTAGCTACCAGGGCTCCCAGTCCCTAGACACCTCTGACACTGCCCTTGTCTGCTCACAGCTTCTCCTGTGAACTCCGAGAACCCTTTGGAGGTGGATCCCAGGGATTCTGCCTTTTGGATCATAGACTGACTCTCAGTACCAACTCTGGTCTCAGTCTTGCCAAGCCGACGGTATGTTGGTCAAAACCCCCAGTTCCAGTGTTTTAGTTCAGCATTAGACAATCTGATCAGTTAACCCAGTGGATCTCAATCCTGGATGCACATTTGAATCTCCTGGAAGACTTTAAAAATGACCAACCCCCAGGCATTAGCCCCAGAGATTCTGATTTCATTGGTCTGGGACAGAGCAGTATTTTTTAAGCTCCACAGGTGGTTCAAAGGTGAGTCAGGGTTATGAATCAAGGATCCAACCCAAGAAATGCAGACCACCAAGCCCACTTCCACATGCAAAAAATAATTTCTTGCTCAATTATGACTGCTTGGACAGGCAATACTAAAGAAGTTATCCCAGTTTTATTTAAACAAGTAATTCCTCCAAATTTTTTAATTTGTCTTACATTCAGTAAAATATACATTTTATAATGATATTTTATAAAAACCAATCCAATTTTTTCTCTTTCAGGACAGCTCATAAAACTGCATTACCTGATGAATGTAAACTTTGTCTCTGTGACTCCCTGGTTGAATATCATGCACCTTTGGAAACTAACTTTTTCACGCCTCCAAAGTGCTATGTAAAACCCTGAAATAGTCAGGTTATATAATCTATAAGAAGAATGTCATTAACCATTTTTCCAATGAAATCTTCACAGCTTTTCACTTAACCCTCCAATCCGGTGCTATCCAAGGTGAGGTCCACAGAGCAGTAGCATGGTAGAAATGCAGAATCTATCGTCCCACCCCAGATCAACTGAATCCGAATCTACATTTTAATAGATCCTCAGGAGAACACATAGCTCCATTCAAGTAGGAAAAGCACCACCCAGTAAACTACTTTTATCAGCCTTTAACTTCTCTCAAGGCTCTCCCTTTTTGGTCTTAGCCCCCCATGAAAATTCTGCCCCCACCAAACCTAGTAACTGCCAGCTTTCAACCCCTTTCCCCACCATCTGCAAAGCCCTCTCCTCTTTTTGCCTAAAGGCAGCATTCTCATTTCTCAAGGTCCCTGCTGAACCTCTCAACTCCAAAACCTTCGCAGGTCTCCCGCGCCCGAGAGTCCTTGCCCGCCTCTAATTTTACAGCACTTGTCTAGCTAAATATTTATCCAGCATTGTGATTGTTCTTGTTTTCTTATTTAATCCTTATTTTGCTCTTAACTTTCCAAATACTTCTGCCTTGTATCTCCTGCTAGTCCATCACTTACATGTTTTTGCACCTGTCATGGGGCTTTGCACATAATAGATTCAATAAATATTTGGTGTTTGGCTTTGACTTCGATCTCTGATGGCAAACTACATAATACAGAAAACCTGTAAATTTGAGTCTAGAAACTAGTAAAAAAAATTTACAGCATCTAAGCTTTGCTGGCATTAAACCTTCCAGTATGCTGAACATAAGAGCTGCAAAATAACATACCGTACAGATACTGAACTATTTTTAAATAACTGGAGAAAATAAATATCAAAAATAAAAGACAATATAATATCAAATATCAACTAACAATGTAAGTAGAAGCATTTCATATTATTGTTGCTAAAGACAACTAATCAAATAAAATCCCTTAGCTACCAAAAGCTGCCATTGACCAAAATGCATTGACAGCCAACTCCAGCCTATGATGTGCAAGGAAAAATACATAGGGCTTCTGACCAGAATCGTGTCTACCAGGATACAGGCAGTCCCCAAACCCACTCCATTCCAATCCTGGATAGAATGACCCCATACATTGTGGCAGGAACACTCAGGGGTATTTTTCATTCTTTCATAAAATCCATAAATATTATTGAGAATTTAACAATATGTCCTGTAGCAGGTCCCAGAAATGCAAAGATGGCTAAGATGTGTCCTGCTCACAGTCTTAGTGGGAAGAGGCATAAACAGATAAACATGTGGAACATATGGTACTAGAGTACACAGACACAGGGCATTATGGGAACACAAGGAAGTGCTGCCTAACTCAAGTGAAGCAATCAGGCTTTTTGGAGGTGGTGGTGCCTGAGCTGAGACTTAGCATTGGCAAAGGAACTAGCCAAGTGAAAGATGAAGATCAATATTCCAGTTAGGGGAAGCATGTAAGGAGAGAGAAGAAGTGAAGACAACATGGTATGAGGAAGGAGCTTTGATACTTCCACACTGTATGAGGTTGAAAGTTATGAGGTTTTCTCTATGGAGAGAGTGACCATTTGCTAGTTGATAAGTTTGAGACAAAAGACCTTGGACTTTATCTTAAAGGCAAAAGGAGAATGTCTAGGCTTGAAAGACTTGTGCAGCTCCCAAGATCTAATATGCAAAATAAGAACAGCTTTGATTCTAGATGAACCACAACTACATAAAATGCCATAGAACCTTTGTCAACATGGCTACTTAGATACTGATTCAAACATTTCATGGATCATCTCTACAGATGGGTCGTGGAGGAAATGATCTCTGAGATAAATCCCTTCCAGCCAAGATTCTATTTTCTGATTGGCAAACATAACCCTGGGTCTGTCCTTCTGAAGGCACTGAAGCGTACCACAGGACAAATACCACAGTGTTTTTAAGATAGTACAATGAAAATAGCATTAAAATTGCCATAGACTAGGAGTCTAGCTTCTTCTCATTCCTAGCTAACTCCTCTCTTCAGCAAACTATAACTTTCCCCCAATTATAGCTCATCATGTCAGGCAAATGTATGTGTTTATTATTTCTTTATTCTTAGTATTTTAATTTAAATTATTTAATAGGTTTTTTCATTTACAACCAACCAGTTCAATTATGTGATTTTTACTTACATATGCACACATACACACACAGATTTTTACTCAATTTTGATAAGTGAGAAGCTGGTTGATTTGAATATTGGCATTTTGTGAAATTTTGCCTCAATATAAAAAAATAAATTGTTTATTCTGGTTGTTCAAAACCATTAACATGGAAGAAAAACACCAGCAGGAAGTAATTCTGCTTGGTTCAGGCAGGTGACAAAATGCATTATATCCAAAGTTATATATAAGCCAGAATCATTCAACTGCCAGTCTTTTAAATATGTCACATCTCCATCCTGAACCTTATACACTGCTTCCTCTAATGGTTCCTAATCTGGGCCCAGCTTCTCAAATGGATAAAACCAGATTAATTCAGCCATGTTTTGCTAGCTTCCCATATTTGGATGCAACATCTCATCTTTGCACCTCACCTGTGTAGGTATTATTTTCCCAGCAGTGACTTTACTGTTTGGAGATGGGGCAAATGTCCATATTTACATTTTTAGTCTTTTCAGTACCATAGAATTAAGTAACTGTTAAGAAAAATAGCAGTGATGATAATTTAGAATAAATTAAAGAGGTAAGCTTGATAGGCAAGAAGGTTTTCTATTAGCAATAATCGCGCCTCGGATAAACCTCATTGGCTATGATATTGCCACTGTGCAAAGCTGACAGTTAAAAAAATAAAATTAAAAAAAAGTAGATCCGTGGTGAGTGAAAAGCAAGGGCCCTGCGGCCAGACTGCAGGGTGTGTCTCTTTGTTTCCCCACTTACTAGAGAGATGACTTTGGATAGGTCATTTAATCCTTCAAAGGTCTCAGTTATCCAGTGTGTAAAATGGGAATAAAAATACTATTTCCTAATGTAACTTCAACTACTCTTCAATTCTAAAAAATAAGGCTATTTCCTATCTCGTAATGTCGTCGACAAGGTTTTTAACAGTAATTTATGTGCAGCACTTAAATCAGAGCTTGGCACAAAAGAAGCTCTATGTGCTGGCTGTCATTAATATAATCCTCCTCCTCCTCCTCCTCCTCCTTCTCCTCATTATAAAGTATCATGTCCATTCATCTCAATTCTCAGAAATGGTTTCATGGAATGTCAGAGGGTATTTCACATTCACACATCTTTCCCAGCACTTCTTGGAATGTTTGAAACAGAAGAGGAAAAAACAAAATAAAAACAACCTCTTGTCAAGAAATTATATTACAAAGATTAGTTAGCAGAAAAGTACTGTGGCAGACACTGTTGGCTGAATAACCAGACCCAACTTCCAGGCTCTTCCCTGGGTCCTCTCCCAGTTTGGAATGTCCACATGACACAGTTCAGCACGAAAAGGCTCTTCCCTTCTTCCTACTGACATGACTGCCAGGCTGCAGGAGCCCTCCTTGGCCAATGAAGGAAACCCCAAAAGAATCAAAGACCTCAGTATTATGCTAAGTGAAATAACTCAGATAGAGAAAGACAAATACTATATAATATTACTCATATGTGGAATCTAAAAATAAAACAAATAGTGAATATAGCAAAAAGGAAACAGACTCACAGATATACAGAACAAACTAGTGGTAACCAGTGGGGAAAGGGAGGGGAAGGGACAACACAGGGTAAGGGATTAAGAGATATAAATTATTATGTATAAAATAAATAAGCTACAAGGATATACTGCACAATACAGGGAATATAACCAATATTTATAATAACTATACATGGAATACAATTTCTAAAAATTGTGAATCACTATGTTGTATATCTGAAACTTACATATTGTACATCAGCTATACTAAATAAAAAAAAAAAACAGAGGCCTCAGTGCTAATCTTGCTAAGCCCCTCAACCAGTGCCAGCAAAAACCCATCCTGAGATTTTCCATAATGAATGAAAAATAAATTTCTTTACAATTAAGACATCATATTCAGGTTTTCTAATGTATGCAGCCCAAAGCATTCCTGACCAATACGTTTATAGATGCCACGTTGCCCAAGAGATCTTAGTCTGCAGCAAGTCAGACACATCCATCATTACTGACACCTGATTTCTTTTCCTAGGATAAAGCTAGGTCCCTGGTGCTTCTGCTTCTGTTCAGCGTTCTACCTTTCCTGCATAAGTTGCATCCTGGAAATATCCAGGGAGCCCTTCCTTCTAGGTTTCCCCCATTCCATCCCCTATTCCCAGCCTCATGCTGTAGGCTTTTCATTGCTTGCCTTCCAGGAAGCCACATTCTGGGCGTCCAGTGTTCCTATATAGATGCTATTCACTCCCCTTGACACCAACGACAGAAGTTTTCTCTTCAGTGTCACCTGGTAATGGGGGCAGACACCTTTCCGTCGCTTGTCTCTCTCCATCTCATCAGTTGTGTTATTGTGGCCAACTGTTCTAGTCACCAGTGGTTCTCAAAAAGCCCTCCTGCCTAATCACTCCTCAGCCCCTTCCTGCTCTCTAATGAAGTCTGGTGGCAGCTGTATAAACAATAAAATTGGTAACAGCTACACAGTTTGTGAATTAGTGTTTCCAAGGGGGGTGCCCAATTGTTATATTGCATTTTTGTCATTTAGACAATCAGATTGTTCACTGAAATAATTACATTAAAATACATTTAAATTGTCTTTTTTTAAGACTGCTTCTTCTGACCTAAGATTATTCAACCATTTCAATAACAAAGAAAAAAAAACTGGAACTTGGACTCAGTGATTGATAATTATCTTCTTCATCAACTTAGTTCATATTTTGGAAACAATGTTTGCCTGTTTAATTTCATGTGAAAAATTATAGTCCTCTTGGATAAACAATAGTGTCAACAAGTAGCATCTACATACAGCTAGGGGGGAAAACCCTATATTCTTGCTGCCAGCAGAAAGATAAATTTTGCTTGCCTTTGAAAGCCAGGGGATTAACTAGCATTTGGGGGCAGATGTTTTAAAAGATACAGAATCTGTCATATTTTCTGCTTCATGAACTAAACATAAACACTGGGAAGGCTGTTACGGGTGTTACAGCTGTCTGCTAACAGATGAGGCTTTGGAGGTTGTGAGTCAAAGGACCAGCAAAGACCATTCTGTGTTTAATAAACCATACCCTCTCCAGTGCTGAGATTACCCCTGACATGTGGAGTTAAAATTCGGGGAGAAAAAAAACAAACAGTTCTTTCAAGTCACAGAGGTAGATAACGTAAGATTCTGTGATTGTAAATAAATCACATGGGTTGTGAAGAGAAGCAATTGTGAGGGATGTCATTTTTAAAATTCACTATAATTTACAAGTAAGAGGGGCCTGACTGATGATGTATCATTCAAATTGCTATTTGAAACTGATTTAGGCCACAGAGGACACAAAACTGTATTTCTATTTGTTTTGCAACAAAACATGTATGTGTGTATCAAAGTGAATCAGAAACCCTTCTCAAATAAGAAAAACTTTTAATTATAATAATAATGAAGACAAAAGTCATTTTCTGGCAGTAGCTCAATAATATATCAGGAATGGAGTCATTATACACATAATTCAGACATAATATAATCCTCAAGACACATATTCCTAAAATAAAAATTCAGACAGCCTGCCTGTCCATCTGGCTCTTGCTGTGTTATTCTGTGCAAGCAGCTTAACATCTCTGAGCCTCAGTATCCAGATCCATAAGATGCAGCTAAAAACTAGGTTTCAGAGTTGTTAAAACAAGTGAAATAAATTGATCTTTTTACAGTGCTTGGAACAATCCAAACATATAATAAATGATACATAAGTATAAATAACAAATAATAACAGCTGAATAGCTTACCTGATGCCTGATGGGATAGATTTAAAATCATCAGTCAGTAGAAAGACCTATGGAAGCCTCCAGTCTAATCTCTTATCTCATGCAAGAATCCTCTGAAAACAAAAATGTGACCCAGCAATTCCACTCCTGGTTATGTATCCAAAAAAAAAAGGACACTAATTCAAAAAGACTCATGCACCCCAATGTTCATAGCAGCACTATTTACAATTGCCAAGATATGGAAGCAACTTAAGTTTCCATCAACAGATGAATGGATAAAGAAGATGTGGCATACACACACACACACACACACACACACACACACACACACACAACATGGAATACTACTCGGCCATAAAAAAGAATGAAATTTTGCCTCTTGAGGCAACATTGATGGATTTGGAGGGTATTATGCTAAGTGAAATAATTAAGAGAAAGACAAATACTGTGTGATCTCACTTATATGTGGAATCTAAAAAAATACAACAAACTAGTGAATATAACAAAAAAGAAGCAGACAGAGAACAACCTGGTGGTTACCAGTGGCGAGAGGGAGAGGCTGTACAGGGGTGGGGAGTAGGAGGTACATACTACTGGGTATAAGGCCACAAGGACGTCATACTGTACAACACAGGGAACACAGCCAATATTTTGTAGTAACTGTGAATGGAGTATGACCTTTAAAAATTGTATAAAAAATAAGCAATTAAAACAAAAACAAATGTTGACACACTCTGACCTGAGGAAGGGGAGACTGAAAACTACCTCCCTGTAATTCCCACCTTGAATTCTAAATCTGAAACTCTAACAAATGAATCCAAGTTTGCTTCCACATGGCAATCCATCCCAATTTGTAAGGAGCCATCACTGCCTTCTCTCCTTCAAGCCAAGATCCTCTATGTCTTCATCCTTTGAGATTTTGATGGAGCCCTAGCTCTGTCACTGTCCCCAACACTGTCCCCAACACTGTCCCTGCAGGCACTGCATTTGCTGGGTTCCCCAGGAAAGTAGGGCAGGAAGTAACCAGATGTGGTCTACATGGTGGTGTATCTGTCACTCTCATTCCAAACCTTGATTTCTACTAACTGAGGCTCAAATAGCATCCCCATTCTTTGGCATCTGTGTCACCCTATTGCCTCATACTTGGTTTTCAGTTAATAAAACTAGTCTCTTGATCTACCAAAAAGCCAGAACACCAGCTCCATCCTTACACTGGCATCTTTAAGCCTCAACTCTAAAGACTATATTTATCCCTATTAATAATAAGTCTCACTTGATTATTAATCAATATAAATGTGTGTGCAAATGGAATCAGTACACCAAATAAGATTTTAAATTCCCTGGAGGAAATTCAGTTTTTAACAGAAATCTTATGATCAAATTTTGTAAAGCAAATAACTGTCCTTCAATTGATGTTTTTGTATCTATTAACATATTATAGTTGCCTACAGCAGGAAACAAATATATTAAGCTTTGGATTATACCATATTATGTTATTAAAGCAGATCTGCCTTCCTGTACTTTGATTAGGTTAATACTAAAATTAGTTTATTTTCCGTGAATGCACTGAAACCAGAAGATTAGCGTGCAGAAGAGAGAGCCAGGAGGCCACAAACCCAAACACTATGCCCAGGTCTAAAATTTCCTTGACGTATACAATCTTCAAATGGCAAACCAAGAGTTGGTTCTTGGTTTAAAATTTCCCTCCCACCCCTTTTATATGAATAAAATAATATTATTGAAAAAAATTACAGCTGACCCTCTCCTATTTATTCAGTTTCCATTTAATTTGGTTTCACATTTGGGTCACTCTCTTCCAGGGCTTTCTATCAGGTAGGGCCCGTAGGCAAAGCCCTCTACAGGCTGACTCCAGTTCATGTCTTGTCTCATCCCTGATGACGCTCTACCACTGGCAC